TTGAAGTTTATTCTTCGTCTTTCAAACTTTTTTTCCAATTAGTAATACTAATACATATGGTAAGAATATAAATAGAATAATAAAATCTTAGCCCTAACTACATTTCATATATATTTTTTTAATGCGAAAAGTTGCTAAGGGAGCAGACGGTTCACCCGATGTTAAGTGAAAACCACCGCCTATGGACATCTGCTACACCCGAGGGTTGCAGAAGCGTTAACAACCTTTTGAAAATTGGGCTCCGGCTATCTTACTCACCAGACGAAACGCGAAAGTATTATACTTCCACTTTACGCCGGTTTTCTGTGAGGTCGTGGTACTTACCCGGACGAGCCTGCCAATTCGTGCAACAGCCTACGCTGCTGCGTGGCCCTACCACAGTTTGGTTATACAGTTATATAGTTCACAAATCCGTCTGATAGGTGACGGAGGATCATAATGAGATTCTCCTCTATCACATAAAACGTCTTCTAAATCATTTTTTTAAATCACATCGTTTCTGGTTAGTCGCAGTAGGTGTTGAATTCTAAAAAGAATATTATAATCTTGTTGTATTTTCCTAAAACAAAGTCGTCCCGCTGTCTGTCTGTCCCTGTGTATGCTTAGTATTACTTACTTTAAAACTACGCAACGGATCTTGATGCGGTTATTTTTACTAGGTATAGTGATTCAAGAGGAAGGTTTATATGTATAAAACATTGCACCCGTGCGAAGCCGGGGCAGGTCGCTAGTAGGTAATAGAATGTTTGTCAGTTGATGCAACGGTATTACGTAAACCCACTCGATGCACACGTGGACGGCGATCCCCTGTGACTCACAGAAAGTCTGCATAAACACGCTTAGCTTCCTTTTAGCGTTAGGTCTCCCCAACGCGAGCAAACAACTTACAGCCGGCTTAGGGCTTTTTATTACAGACCGACTATGGTAGGGACAAATATTTGCTCGCTTTCGATGAAACCACGTCGCGACACCTTTCTGTTATTTTATTTGACGTAGCTACGTATTCAGTATATTTCTGAAGTTGCTTTTATTTATTTTCAAGCTGTTCCCCCGCCCGGTTGATATATTTAAAAATAACTATATAATACAAGCAGATATGCCGCCATACGTTTACGATGCTTATATTCACGCCTACACGGCTAGTCCATAGCAAGAAATGCACATTACTAAAAATCTAAAAAAAATATTGAAATCTATCTATCCAGTAGTTTTTCGGTGATGTCCGCTCAACGACAGACCTTTATCGTTTTATTTATACTATAGTTTATTAAAATTTATTAAGAAAACTGACAAAGATAAATATTATTTTTTTTGTATTAATATTTTTAAGTGAAAAAACAATTAATAAGGCTTTCGTCGGCAGGAGAAAAGAAATGGCCGTGGGCTAGGGAGGCGAAATGAAGCGATGGACAACTCGTGTGTTGATTTCTATTTTTTATGTGAAAAGTAGCCAAACGAACAGGCGTTTGACCTGATGTTAAGTGATTACCGCCACCATTGGAAATCTACAACACCGTTGAACTTGCAGGCAACGTGGCCCTACCACAGTAAAACGTTTCGAAAACGGGAGTCACTAGTGAAGATAAACGTCACACGTTGCGTGGCTGTTACGGATTAACGGGTTCCAAAAACGGTAATAGGAATCATTTATCCTGGCATACGACCACGCATAATATTCCACAATTAAAAGAATTATTATTATCATAACTTTAATGAAAAATAAATACTTTCAAAAAAAAAAAACGACTAGACATTTGTCTCGCTATCGCCGATATTTTTCAAATATCTTTGTTAAATATATGTTTTATAACATTTGCCTCGTACGCTAAGTTCTTACAGATAATATGTTTTTGTGTTGTAAGTTTTACTTAACGTCGAGTTATTTTGGTTCATATTTAGTGTAAGTTTGAATCTAAGATAGTTTTGCGTTCATCTGTTTTGGTTATAAATTGTGTAAACTCGGTTTATGGGTTAAAGAGGTGTATAGTTCTGTTGGTTGACAAATACACATTGTTGAGGGGGCACGTTATCTTCTGAGGAAGTACTCTTACTCTTGTCTCTTACTCGTACTCTTATCAAATTAACTTGCTCTCCCATTATTTGAGGTAATCCGGAAGAAAGACGCTTGATTCTACTTTCTGTCATTATTTTACTCGAGACTGGGAATTTATAAGAACCTTGTTAAACTTGTACGTATGTGTACCTCATTACAAATAATTGTAACATTATTATTAAAAGAATGTTGTATGTTTTATCAGAATTTTTGTTATTATTTAAGTTTTATCATCTATTTACATTTAAAAAAAAAACATTTAAAACTAATACAAACAGCAGCTGATAAAAACAAATCAACGTGACGTCTTGGAAACCATTTGTCATACAAATTGATTACTTTCCTTAATCTCTCCGCCGCCTGGCAAATTAATTTGGTAATGGAAAGATGTCGAGATGATTTAAGAATGTCTACGGATTTTTCATTAGTCCAAGTTGCGCTACAGGAGCCACCGATGGATGTAGGTTACCGCTACGCTGGCAGTTCTGATTTGAAACATTCTTTAGTGTCCAACTACACGCTGTAACGAACTTATCGTATAGAATTAAATTTTAACTGTTTCATAGATTGCTTTATAATATATTATTTATTTTAAACACTTATGAATTATATTGTTGGCTTTTATTTCGTGTGAAAGATGGTTCTGAAGGAAACATGTCGTTGTGTAAGAGTTAGAAAAAGATAGAAATAAAAAGAACAAGATAGAATGATACGTATAAATTACCTCAAAAATATTTTTATGTTAAATATAATAATTGTATAGTGCAGCTTACAGCATATAAAATCAATAAATTTAACCATATTTTTTTTTTTGGAATTTCCAATCGCTATAATACTTTATATATTAATACAAAGCCCATTTATACATAGTAAGTCTTATTCTTTATTTTATTAAATTATCAAAATACATAAATGTGCTACCGGACTTCATTACAAATTAGGAAATAGCAATGTTACGTAAATTCTGATTGGCCTTTTATAATTATGTCTCGCCCACGGAGTATTAAAGAATGTTGCGCGATTCATTTTCATTTCATACACCCTTGCTCGTAGCAATCGTTATGTAATGGACTTGTTATAAAGTCATGAGCAGTTGTTTCCCATCTAGCTTAATGGTTGAAGCTATTACGTTTAGCCAGTGCGTACGGTTCACGAACTAGATTAGTCTGTAAGCCACTACAGATTGCACGCGGCATTAACCGCGCACCAATGTGGGTGTTATATATTTATGAAGCGAAAAGCTTTACGTTTTCGGAATAAGCTTATTGTGTCCCGTAGATGATAACAATTTTATCACTGATCTTTGGGAACAACACCGTGGGGCGTTATGGAAAAATAAAATGGATAATTTTTTTATGTGAAAAGTTGACACCTAATGTTAAGTGAATACCGCCCTCCACGGACATCTGCTACACCCGAGGGTTCCAGATGCGTTGACAACCTTTTGAAAATCGGGCTCCGGTCACCTCACTCACCAGACGAAACGCGAAAGTGTTATACTTCCATTTTACGCTGGTCTTTTGTGAGGTCGTGGTACTTACCGACGAGTTTGCCCATTCGTGCAACAACCGTGGCTACTTTTTATTAAATCGTTTTGAGTCAATTGAATATGTTAAGGTTACCATGATTGCTTGTTAAAGAGAGATTTTTTTTAATCAGTTAGGAAAATAGAAATAGACCTCGACTAAATTTATGACTTTAGTGAGCTATCTATACGGTCTAATTAGTTTTTATTGAAATTGTCTATTTTAACGATATTAACTTGTTTGCTACTAGTACTCACAGAAATTCAATATGTTTTGTTTTTCAAGCTTCACCGGCCATGCGTAACGAGCTTGGAAAGAAGTATTGCTACTATTCCCTATTTTCAGTTCTTATTCTTCACATCTTTCATTTCCTTTATTTAATCACTTATTATTGTGTATATTTTGCTTCACTTATTTCATTGTTTTATGCCATGAGAAATTTACTCAGCCATTTTATGAAAACGTATATTAGTTTTGTACTGGAGTAACTTCATCTCTCTCCAAGATTGATTTTGATCGTATGTCTACAAGATATGAGATGCTTTCATTTATGGGTGCAGTCCTTGCTTGATATTATTTCAAATATATAGCAAATTAGTCCGGTGTAAGGAAGAGCAACAAAATCAGCATTTCTTACATTATCTTATTTCATTTAACATTTGAATAAATTTCTTATCTTTAGAGTCAAAAAACTTCGCGCAAAAACACGAGGCTTGTTTGAGTATTAAAGATAGAATAGATCATATTTATAGTTGACAGTTATTCATAATTTTTGTTTATACATTTTTTCATATATATCTTACATTTAGACAAAAATGCTTTTATAAAAAACGGTAAGTATTATATAAAAGTGCCTGTATAAAAGTCATTGTAAGCGCGAGCCATCTGTCATTAATCATTTTTCTTTGGTCGCGTAGTTTGTGAAATATTAGTTTCTCACATTTATGGATAAAAAAGGAGGTGACCTCTGTGTGTTTTGATTCGGAAAAGATATTAAATTTTCTTTATAGCCGTATGTTAGATTAAAAATAAAATCGAAATTTCTGGAACAAATACAATCAAGCATTGCTTTATGATACGATACTGAAAATTAATAAATTGACAAAAAACTGAAAGAAAAACATTATGTATTCTAGTTCTCATGTTTTGTGGACTGTTTACCATTCTTTAAAAACTCCTAGATTATTAAAACCAAGCAAAAATTTTTATCTTCCATCAGAATATACTCATATCTGATGATACTCAAATCTGATGGAAAGATCTCGTTTGTGACCATTATCTGTTCTTGTCATGTATACACGAGTAGTCTTCTTCTAATCTGTGCCTAAAACGTTTTTTATTCGCGTATATACAGAATATTCGACGATTAATAATGAATTGCTAGGGATTATGTCATTATAATGTCCCCTTCTTTTGTGCAGGATCCGAAAATACGGAACGTGGTGTTGATAGGCTCGCAGGGTTCACTTGAGGAGAAGACCGTTACAGTGTGCTACGGCGCCGACTTCGTTAACGTTACCTTCGTTAATTTCTGCTGCACAAGGAAGGATATCGCTCAGGTGAGTAAACTAAAAGCAATTGTACACAAGTATTCTGTAGTGGTATAGGGTCTCAGCATTTACACTTCCTCCGAAGCATTAATATGCTTAATAGTCCAATATGCTTAATAGTCCAAGGACTTAATAGTCCAAACACACCAATACGGGGAATAGCTTAAGATACTGTGAGATTCTACTGCTTAGATAGTTAGAAAGAAATCACTAAAAGTTGACATCTCAGTCTGTTGGTGATTAAATTCAAAATTAAAGGCGAAAACTCCATCAATTAGTTTTGTTAACACGTGTGTAGTATTTGAGCGAACTAAAGAAATCGTTAAGAAAGAAATTTTAACTGAAAAATTTAAAGTTTTATCGTTTACTTAATAACCATCATAAGAAACAATCAACATTTACCTAGTAAAAGGAAAAAGTTTCCCCTCACGCTCTTGAAATGTTTTATTTTTCGAATTATGTTTTGGAGGATTGCTTTTACTCATTTAAAAATGAAAATGACTTCTAATATATACCGAAACAACAATACCTAAGGAACGTAACGCGTCTTAAGGTAATAATTGGCGTACGGGCGAAAGTGAGGGAAAAAAGAAAAATCCCTACAATAACGAGGTTGCGCTTGTTAAGAGATTTTTTTGTAATTCGTACGATCATTATCAGAGGAGTACGATCATTAGTAGAGGAGGAGCTGTTACGTAAATTCGGTCTCCAAATTAGTAGCTAACTGTAAGCTCCCAACAAAAAAAAGTCTCGTGTGTCTTCATTCCTTGAGGGCGTGTCTACATTTTTCCGATACTCTTAAGTTCCAAATATAATGATCATTACATTTTAGAGCTGTCACCAATGAAATTGAGAAGACGAAGTGTCTTTGGTGCATATCACCAATGCATCTAGCCGGCCGCATTCAGAGATTTATCACTTAATTATCATTAACCTATGGAACTGAGACGCGGTCCTTTAGTACGGGCCGTATGAGGAAGCTCAAAATCGCTCAGCGTGCTATAGGGAGGATATGCTAGGTATTTCTCCGAGCTGCAATAGTACAAAGGTAACAGACACAGCTCAGATGATTGACAAGCTGTATTCTTGGGTCGTCACCACCAGTAACGGTCCAACCATATAGTTCGTAGAACCAATAACCGATAGGAAAGAAATTTCTGGTACAATGTACGGGAAGTCGATGGATCCTGAACCACTGAGCACCTGAGCACGATCCTGAGCCACTTGCGGCTAAGGATCGTGCTTTCATACCAGTGTGTGGGGCAGGACTATATTCAGCAAGATGACGTCAAACATTGCTTAAAAACGAAATAAAAATCAAAAGTAAATGAAATGAATTAGATTTTAGTCGGTGTAAAGATAAGCCGTTTAGCTCAGTGGCTAGTGCGTCGGGCGCGTATTCCGGAGGACGCAGGTTCAAATCCTCGCAGCGATGAATAACCATTTGACCATTTTTCTACAAATTTTTGAAATTTCCTCTTGCCGTGATTAGCGCTATAAATATTAAGTACCCGGAGGACCGAGCTTTGCTCGGTTTGTTTTTTTTTTGGTAAATCGTGTGTTTTGGAAATTACATTTAGATACAAATTACTGAGTAATGAAATATGCGTAATATTTTTCGATCTTACCGACCTAATAATAAGAAAATATGAAGTGGCGTTTTTCACAAAAGAAACAACTTTAAAAAAAGGGAAAAAAGTAACAAAATAACAAATCGACAAAAAAATTAAAAATAAAGAAAGCAATGATCGGGAATCGAAAAAAAAGTAAAAAATCAATGTGTAAGTGAACGTGACGCGAACCACGGCCGTCTGTTTTGGGGCCGCCCGATTACCGACCGAGCTATTATGACATTTTCTTTATTGCGGCGAAATTTACCGTCATATTCGAATGATATTTTTCATTCCCTGAAAATAGGGATAAAGGGACATTTTCTAAAAATGAAACCTAGCTAGATCGATTTTTCGCCCCCGAATCTACGCACATACTAAATTTCATGAAAATCACTGGAGCCGTTTCCGAGCCGATTATATATTATATATATATATATATATATTATATAAATATATAAATATGTATATATATATATATATATGTATATATATATATACAAGAATTGCTAGTTTAAAGGATAAGAATATCTTTAAAAAATAATAAATATCATTAAACTATTTCATTTTCAAGGTTCAGTACAATAAACGAATTTAACGCATTTTTGGATCTTGACGATCCAGAAATACATCTTGCCCGTTCTCGGATAACATGATGTGAATCAAACAGTTGGTAGCAAAATTATTTGAGGCTTAGAAACCTCTATATGTATGGTGTCTTAGAATTACTAGTCGTTTATCTTATTTGAAATAGGCATGCATAAGCTCTGTTCAACAATGAATAATTTATGACACACACACACATAAATTAAGTGCAAAAGGAATGAATAATTTTGTATACGATGTAATAAATTTCTGCTAATTGCCCCAGTAGTAGGGTTAAGCAAACTGAGCCAGATTCGACAATACAATAATTTATACACTAAATAATAATTATTATTTTCGAATTTAGCTTTTGCTTTAGTTACATTGATCTTAACTAAAAACAAAGATATAATTTATATTGTGAAAAATAAAAATATATACCTGTATTTTGAAGAAAAACCTTTTTTAGTTCGCTTCGTTATCTTTCATTTAAATAAATTATCAAAAGATATAATTATCATACATTATTTCTAGAATGCAAATGGCAAAGTGTCGTTTCTTGTGGCATTCTAGGGTACAGATCTTTGTTCAACAGTGGACGTCTTCCGACGATTGATGATGACAATAAGAAATTTTTAAATAAACTAATTTTTTTTTAGCGGTAAACGTATGCTTTAAAACGTGTTAGAATAACTACAAAACATTCTGATAAGTTTTAATTACGTACAGAGATTTTTGCTTCTCTTGCGAATCGTTGTTAACTTTAAACGTTAAGTTGTAATGATAAAAATATTCCTTTAAAAAAATATAACTTTAAACGTTGTAATGATATAGGAATAACTTCATAACTCCTGGGCCTCACAAAATTTATTTCTTAGAATCGTGTTAAAATTTATGTGAGACTAGACTCCACAAACTCTGATTACGAATTGATCTAGGCGTTTACTCGACCACCTCCGATGTCTCGTGGATTTCTGAGTATGCGTTATATTAACACGCAACGGTTCCCTTTTATTGGACGTTATAGGTAAATGCTGATTGACAAAAGCCTTTGGTGAAGTTCATCAATTGAATGAGGTATATATATATGTACATATGTATTTATGTATTTTTACTAGATATATTACTAAATGGATTTTTATGAAACTGCAATAATATAGCTTATACATCAGAATAAGACAATAATTTATATATATATATTTTATGTATATCTGTGTTTATGTCTGAACGTTACGCCTTCAGCCTATTTATTCTACGCAGAGTATTCGCGGGCGGCAGCTAGTTATTGTATCATATATCATAATTTTTAAAAAATATTAGCATTCTGCACTCCCTCTTTATATAAACTATTTTCGAAATCTAAATTTCATACTTCTCCGTACGCGCAATTTTCGTAAAAAGAGTACGAAGTTTTTGCTCCACGTATTAATATATAGATAATGCTCCAAACTTTACCTGTTTAGCGACCTTCTCAAGGTCCCTTTTAGGGAAACATTAACGAGATAACGAGTTTCGAGCCTGTAGTTAGTGTAGTTCACAAAGTTGTCTAGTTTACGACAAACTGTGTGTATACGATATGTACAAGCAATGATTATTTTGTCTACATGCATTAGGAGCTTCGCCGTCGTTTAAGAGTACGTCGCTTTTACAAATCAATAGTTGTTTATAAGGCTATTACCAGCCCCTTTGAACTGTCTCTTTGTCAGACTTAGGGCGTGTAATGGGCTGTATTTGAAGACGTATTTAAATGGGCTTTGATTTCAAGCTACTCGGCGGAGTGGCTTGTTTTGTTTTTATATTATATTGTTCCTTACTTGTTTTATTTTGTGAAATGGCGCTGTTTTAGAATGCTTTCGCTTGTTTTTCTTTCGAACGACAAACGTTAAATTATGACATTAGATTTTTGTCTTCAACAGCCGCGCGTCGCCGTCTCGCCTCAAATAGTTATAAATTATATGTATATAAGTAGTAAATACGAAAGCATGTAAGTCGTAGCTAGTATAAAAAAAAATCAGTACTATTTTCTGCATTTCAGATAAAACATTAAAATTTCTTCAGGGTGCAATCAGCCGTTTAGGTTAGTGGTTAAACACTCTGGGCGTGAATCCGTAAGATGTGGGTCCGATTCCTGCAGCGGCAAAAACTTTACGTCCTTTTCTTTTATATCTTCAAATTTATTATCTTTTCGTCTTTTATCTTCATATTTAATGTTTCCTTTAAACTAAAGAGTCGTATAAATGTGACGGACATTCGCAATGTTAACGTGTTCCTAGAATTAAATTGTACAAACGTAAAACACTCCGTCTTCAGCCACTTGGCATGGAGTAAATTGTGCCAAAGCAAGTGTATGTTTTTCATCGTCGGCGCAGTTTTATAATTAACGTTGTTGTTTTTCAATAATTTATTTCGTTATCTGATTTTTAATATTAGACTTTGTTCGTGGTGGTTTTAGTCTGAAAATGAAACGGTCCACAGTTGCTATAAATAAAGACATATGGATAATGACGTTAAAAGGATAAAAATAAAGAATCCCCAGTTGTCGTTATAGGTGGCTTAATCGAGAGCAGAAACTTACCACTGCCTCAAAGAGGACCTGTCTGTGTCAAAACTTTTCCCACCTGATATGTGAGATCAGAGTCCTTTGTTATCTTTTCAACGTGCTTTTTACGTATACTGTTCTTTACGTAAGATGTATCTTACTACTGTTTTCTTATTTCAGCTTTCTCCATTTTTTACTTTATCATTCTCAATTTTTACAATTACTAACGCTATTCCATCACGTTTATTACGTTAAATTTGTCCGGTGAGTGAGATGACCGGAAACTCTTTAAGGTTGGCAACGCACCAATTCGGCGTAGCTATGTTCATGGGTGGTTTATTAACTTTAAAAACGATTGCCTTCTTCTGAATAAAAATGTCACGATTGATCTTTGCGGATGAAAACTTGTAGTCATATTCTGTTATTTAAGCGTTTAAAAATACTTTCTACAACATTTTTGCATACGTCCCCAACGAGGAGTATTTTTAGCATTGTTGCCATCAATTTCAAAAATTTCATTTAATGGCTTTTAAATATCCCGCACGTCGTTCTTAAAAAACTTACACCCTTCCAGACCTATTGAAGAGAGTAAATTCCAATAGGCAAATGAATTTAATTTTGATTAAACGCTTATTGACATTTCCAACACCTGTTAATATGCTTATACCTCATTCGTGAACGATTGACACCGTGATCAGTCAGGCGTCATTAATCTCATTCGACTTAAAGTCATAATAAATATACCTTTTAGTCCTTTTACTTTCTTTAAAGTTTATAACTGACGTTATACTTGCCGTTCAATTAGGAGATACTACCTACTAAATTGATAATGTTATTTTATATCGTGAAGATGTGTAATGTATATTACATACTCGTATGGCATTAATGTCATAATTTGTAATTGAAAACTGTCGTGTCTTTAAGTTTATTTATGGACCTTATAACTCCTTAATCCATAAGATAATATTAGCTGAAATGTGTTCATGTTTATACTTACCATCAGATGCATATCGCCCAGCTAATATTACCTTACGAAATTTTCGGGCATGATATAATGTACATAAACTTGGCGAAGTAAAGAAAATTAAATTGTTTATGGTACTTTTCAACCGCTTTGCGTTTATCCCTTAAAATCATGCTAATATTTTATTTAATGGTTATAACGCATTTACGTTCATTCTCTTTTTTCCGTTGCTCAGTCCAGTAACTTCGATTTTAATAAATCATTAGATCAAAATACATATGTGTGTAGCTGAAATAAGAGGAAAAAAGCGGATGAGAGAACCAAAAAAATATACTCGTGGAAAATATTCAATACGCCATTATCTCCCAGGGCTTTATAACATTAAAAGGAAACAATTTTGTAAGCATTAACCGCCGTAAGGTTTTTGCGTACCAACGAAATTCAAATTACTTTTTTTCTTATAGGTTATAAACCTAACCTTCATTATAACAAAAACATATTACAACATTTTATACAACAAATCTTTCATGATTGGCCATAACAATTCCGTGGGACTTTCACAAAAATTTGAGTATTTTTCTAGCAGTTCTTTCTAGTTTCAAAAAATATTTACGGTTCCTTCACAAACATTGAAAAAAGCTCCTTGAGTTGTGAACAACCCGTCACTTACTGGTTTTTATGTTGCAATACAAAAACTCTTTTGCTAGCACTGTTTTCTGCGGTATTGTTGTAATTGCGTCCCTTTGGGTTTTGGTAAGATTTGCAAATAAGAGTTTTCATTAATAACACAATTATGCCTTATACTTGAAAAATATAAAATTACTGACAGTAACCCTAAACCGCTGGAAAGTAGTAACACAAATATACGAGTATAAACTAATGAATTTGTTACTTTACGATAATTTCAATGTTATGTGTTAAATCCTCTTCACGTCAAAACTATCTGCGTTCCTCTGGGGATATGTAAAGATTTAAATTTGAATATTACTGTGTAATTTGATTCTAATTTTCTACTAAATTTGATTTTACGATCTCTAAGTTGGTGGGAGTTCAATTTCTTTACTGTTACTGTCTTTTCAGGTGTATCCTAAACATCTTATATTGGATTTAAATCCGATGAAAGTTCTGAATTATTCAAAGTTTTAATTTAAAAAACCCTTACGTAAATTAAAAATGGCGTTTCTAAATAGGGCTTAGCTATACAATGAAGAAAATTATCATGAACACACTGCCCAAAAGGCAACCTAATCGGTTCAGAGTTATTTGTTACTAGCCTTTTTCCTGTATACGTCGTTATCTTGGCTATGTAAGGTTTTATTGTGTTGCTGTCACTTTACTAGATCCTAATGCTACAACATCTCAAATGAATACAGTTTATTCTTCTTCTATCGATATTAAGGCCTGTAAAAACATTAAAAATAAAACAGAATTTGTTACACATTTACACTCCATACTTTTCAATTCATCCCACGTAAGTTCCACGCTACTTCAGAATTTACTAAAGACTTTTTTTACCTAGTGTATCTAATTAAAATCAAAACCGCTGCGACCAAACAAAAATCTCAAAGGGCGCCAAAAATAAATTGGTCAGTGACGTTACTTACTATAAACTATTCACAATTTCAAAAAATAGTCAAAGTATTAACAAGTCAATTAATCAAATGAACCGACGAGATAAGCCCGTATTTTGGATCGTTAACTTTTACTCGTGTAGTCGGTGATTTATTTCAAACGATAAACCTAGTAAAAACCAATTCAGAAACTTCTCTCGCATTCCTCAAAAATTTTCCACGAGCGTATTTATAAATAACACAGATGGGACCACACTACAATATCAACAAATAACCCGGTCCAATTGAAGTGGGATTTCCGATGTGACAATTTGAATGCACCGCTTTGAACTCGCGCGGGCCGTTAATAGTGTTGAATTTTTTGGCAATTAACTTTGGCGGCGTCCCAATGCATCGCTCATTATATTTACCGACTTTCACCAGCGACCACGCAAATGTGATTCTTTTCGATATTAACTAGTTATTTTCAACGCGATTGAAAACGGTGATACTCTTATTGTGGTAGAGTATCGACTCACATAACAGCTTCCCGTTGCTCGAGTGCGCCATCTCGACCGGGGAACAACAACGGCTATACATTAGAACTGCGTGAAGTAAATTAGATTGTGAAAGACTTCACTATAACTGGAACCACAAACTCGTTGAGTAGCAATACGCCTGCAACGTCTATGGTGGCGGTCGTCACTTACCACCAGGTTAAACCTCACTGGCACAGCTACCATCACTTTCAAATAAAAAAGAAAGTTTTTGAATAATTTCATTCGTGTACACAGATCACGACTGAAGGACAAAAAAACATAATGTTTAGCATACAGTATTCACATAATAGGGGTTTAATATCAGCGATTATATTCACTTTATAGAGCCGTGATAGCTCAGTGTCAGGGCGCTCGCCTTTAATTCAATATACTCGAGCAACCTGAGTTCAATCCCCGGTGCCGGCACCAATGAAATTGTTAATTTCAAGGGTTGAATTATCACGTGCTCAGCGGTTAAGGAAAGCGTGAGGAAACCTGCATATTTTCGAAATAATAATAAAAAAAAATCGAAGATATGTGAAGTCCTCCAATCCGCAGTGGGGCCGCGCGGGGGACTATGCCCTGATACCCTCTGTACAGAGGAGGCCTTTGCGCAGCAGTGTATCTATAGGCTGAGACATTAACTTTATTCACTTTATGCTCTGTCATCAGATGTGGACTGAGGAGCTCTTCGCGCTCGCTTACAATCTCAACCAGCTGAACAATCCCACCATCAAGTTCCTCGAGAAGCTGCACACGAAGATTATCCTCAAGGCGGACAAGTCCGGGAAGATACTCGTCAAAAAGTAAGTTCTTATCCTTGCAGTTATTAGTGGATTTTTGTTACTTAAACAACGTACCTAACGGTAAGCCGCAAACAACACGCTTGTCTGAATAGTCATACACGAGTATTTTCTTACGACTATCAAAAATCAGTGTAAGTGCTAAAGAACAACGAAGGAGACGCAGAAAGGATGAAAATTACATGAATTCCTAATTATACTCTTTCATATCTAATGCACTGATCAAACTCGATAAGGATACGGTATATCTCAAAAAAAATCCTGCGTATTTTTGCTCACTCTTTTCTCAGGAGCTTCACTCCTCGCGATTATGCCCCTCTGTATGGTTTCTACTTTATTACGGTTATTTCGAAGTGCGTATTAACTTTAAATTAAAAAAGCACCCTACGTTTGAACGTCATTCGCATTCCGGGTTTTATGTTGTTAGATCAAAATGTGTGCGCTTGCTAATTGCCGATTTAGTTAGATAATTTATTTTGTTGAATAATAAATAAGGACTGAATATTGTGTACATAATTGTGTTTGCAAGTAGTTCGCTTTAGTAACTCGGCGATAAGAGCAGAGCTACCGCTTACGGTGTCTCGAAATATAACAAAAGCGCAAACTCGAAACTCGAAGCTCGGGAGCGAGCAAACAAAGTTGTTTGCCGCTATTTCGACAGCGCCCTAAGAAGTTATGTTCGGCGAAGGCGTACTTTGTTCGTGCAACAGATTAATGAATATTTCGTACAGGTATTTGTTTGTGCAGCATAAAACGGCCGATTTATATTTACCACCGGCTAATGTGCATTATAATGTAAGATGAAGAGAGCAGGTCGACAGCGGTGACGTCATTTCCATTTGGTATCACGAACGAGGTGACCGCGTTGTCATAAGCGCTTTATAAAGCCGACGCTTAAAATACATTCGGAACTGTATTAAATTTAATTCCGACGTTTACGCGCTTTCGAACTCACCACAAATCCGCTGATTGTAAACTATTGAGATGCGTTGCTGGCTGTTTGAGTAATCCTCATCTCGGATTTCGCCATTTATAGTCCTGTGCCAGTGATATAAATTACACTTTAGCTCGCATTTTAAGCATTGCTTGGCTCCGTCTATTGTTATCTCCTTTACAGCACACATAGAGTTTCAAATAACCTTTTTTGAGACGATAATTCGGACGAGAGTTGTCACCTTTGTCATTAAAATTTAAAATGAAAACTGTATGTTCAGGTTTTATGGTGCCAATCTGCATTTCAGATAAAATTTGTAGAGAAATCGAAATCGCTGAGAGATTCGAACCCGTGTCGCGCAAACGCTTTAGCCACTAAGCTAAACGGCCTATTGCCACGCCATTACACACAAGAATAGTGTAAACTTTTTTTTTTTCACTTTATTTCAACCACTGAACGTCAATGGTTCGATCCATTACGAAATATATACGTAAGATCTGTCCAGAGAAGAACCAGTGTTACATCCTTTAATAGTTAAGAATTAAAGTTTAATTCTTCCAGCTAATCTTTAATATTAATCTTTAGTAAACAGCGTGTTTAACTTACTGCTATTCGAAACTGTTTGAATAGTTAAACGGAATTTGGCATCGTATATACGTTTCAGAGCTCGACGCTCCGGCATTTCAATGAAATTGAAATTTACTTAGTTAATAGGGTGACCAAGAGCTGTCGAAAAGCAAGTATTAAATGACTGACCAAGTTTTACTGTGACGAATATGATATTTCTACTTTCAATGGTACACAAATAGTTATGTTGACAAGTGCGAGGCCATTTAAATCATATGTCAATCATTACATTAATTTGCTCGTTTAACTTTTTTAGTACTATTTTACTACTTTTACAGGTAGTATAGACGAGTAGTATTTGCATACTTATACCACAAAGGTATGCATATACTAGTCGTAAGGACTGTGGTAGGGATACGCAGAAACTTCTGTATTCTCACGAATGGACAGGCTCGTTTGGGGTAGTACCGCGGCCTAACAAGACCGGCGTGAAGTGCAAGTATTACTGCGTTTCGTCTATTTATCTAGGCAATAGGGGCTCACTTTTTTAAAGATGCTAACCACTATATTTTTAAAGTTTTTTATAGTGCTAATCTCTGCACTTAAGATTAAACATTAAAACATATAGAAAAAGTACGAAAGGACTGTCGCCGCTGTGGGAATTGAACCCAAGTCTTCGGCATTCGCGGCCGGACGCTCTAGCCACTGAGCTAAACGGCCGCAGATAGCCGCAGCGACGAAAATCTTAACGCCTTCTTTCTACATTGTTATTTAGCATTTGAAGCAATGCTTGGCGCATCTATTGTTATATCCCTTCCAGCATACAAACAATTCATGTTAAGGTTCATGTTAAGGTTGTTGATGATGATGATTCCCACAGCGGCGACAATCTTTTCGTACTTTTTCTACATGTTTTGATGCTAACCACTTTTTGAACCTTCTTAAAAATCCTTAATTTCCCCGATCGCTCGAAAACGTGGCCCGCGCGTCGGCGACGCCTCCAACGTTGTACGCGGCCAGTTGGAGTTGACGATGTAATTTACTCAGCGCCGCGCCGATATGAATTTTCAATTGCATTCGTGTACGAGCGCTTGCCGCGCGTTAATTTATAATCAGCGTGTCAAAGGCCCTCGGCCGACGGCGGCGGTCGTTTAAAAGCCTCTAATGGCGCGTACCATTAGTGATGGCCACGCGGAGCACGGTAATAATCGCTCTGTATTTATGTGTCACATATCATTTCATCGGTCGCTGCAAATGCCCTTTGAGGATCGCTCATTCGTTTGCTCACTCGCGGCGCGTTGAAATGTATTTCTTTTGTTTACCGTTCCCCGTATGGCCCTAGTTTTCGGATTTTTCGTCACGGATTCAAAGTCATCCGAGTCAATAGACTATCGCTCGGTTTTGCTATCGCACGCAGCATGAGATTCAAGCATAGAAATTTGTCAAACGTCTTGCTTCCGACTTAACTAATTTTCTAGTCTCCCGTTTCAACAACACAGATCATATGTAAAATGTTGAAGTGTTTAAAATTATAAGTCGGTTAACGTACATCTTGATATAATGATAGTACTTCAGATTGTATTTTAGTCGATTTCAAACGATACGGTCTGCATATACCCAGTATCTATGCGGTCTGCATAGCACAGCTGTGCCGATAGAGTATTCGGGTTGGTAAAATGAAATTGACTCTGGAAGAGAGCTAATGGAAGAGCGTTTCAATCTCACTTTGCATGCAATCTCTAAATGGGGTGATGACAATCACGTGAGCTTCAATGCCATCAAAACTCAGGCGTGACTTTTCATCGTAAAGATGAAAAGATCGATTTATATTTGCATTTTTTTTTCAAAAATGTGACCTTAGATTGTGGCAGCCGCCTTCAGTTGCTTGGAGTAGATATTGTCTCAAACCTCATCTTTGGTTGGTTCATTGAGTCTAAAGCCGACGCAGGTGCAAGGAAATTAGGTATTCTTGCTATAGAGTGAAGCGATACTTCAACTCGGGGAAGCTTCTAAACTAAAGCAAAAGTCTGGTCTTGAATGGAGTACTGCTGCTATATCTGGGCTTAAGTGCTTTTAAATGCAAATTTTAAAATTAAAAAAAAAAAAAAAAATAATCTATACAGAGGCGTACGTAGTAGTGGAGTCGATTGGTAAAAACCAATCTATAACTGGGCTCGAGCACGGGCGCAGGGTAGCCGGCCTCTCGGTTTCCTACAGGTTGCATTTTGGATTTCCAAGTCGTATTTACAATTCCTCCTCTGTCTTTCCGAATTCTGACGTCATTCCACGGACTCAAATTAAGGTTAAAGCAAAGGAATGGAACAATTTGCCGGCGGCGGTCTTTCCGTCCGAATGTAACGGGGCCATCTTCAAGGCTTTTATTGTGCTAGTGCGTTAACCATCCATCGCTGCATCGCTACTTACCATCAGGTGGGATAACAGTCAAGCACTAGTCCCTTATAAACAAAATAAATGCGAAATTTATTTGGTGATTGTGGTTTGTCCATTTCATTATTTATTAATATTGTATTTTTGTTATTATTGTAGGTAAATGTTAGTGTAAAATTTGTGGTTGCATTCATTTTAATCTGTTACGGAATCTGGCATACGAAATTTAAATTTAAGAAATTTAATTTAAATGAAAGGAAAAGAAAAAAAAAAAACAACCTAAAACTATAGTAAGAAATGGTTACCAAACGAATTTTCCAGATTAAATTATTCCCGTGAGCGGAGTTGCCAGTGACAGGGCTAAAAGAGGACACAATTGGAGCGTCTTAGACTATCAGACGTAACAAGAGGGTAAAATCAATATGGAAATAGGAAAATTTCTATTATTGAGTTCACAATTTGTACCGTTGTCTCTTAAGTTTTACCCGAGTATGCCATGAGCATTAAGGAGCAGAAACACGTGTCGCCAATGTTTGCATAGCACCACTATGATTGTTTACGGTGTTTACATTTCGCGAGAAGCACGGTGCGTTTTACAGTTTTCTGTAGTTTGTTATTAATATGGATAATGTTTTTTTTTATATGGGTCGTTATTATTTTACGACGTAAAGACTAGCGAAAGAGGACATAAAAACATCATTAGCGGACCATCTACTAGATCGCGTCACGCGTCGGACATCCGCCTAAATGCCCTATTTAGAGAATTTTCTTTTCAATAACGTTTGATTTCGTGTATTAAACGAGAAAGAAAGCTTCTACGCCAATCAATGTTATAGTATCGAAAACGAGACTTCACCAAAAGCTCTTAAAGTTCTTTATGGCTAAACTTAAATCTGCCATTACACATTTCGAGAATGGTTTAAGTACTCTACAAAGTTACTGAAAGCAAAGTTACAACTTCAATATTTTGTTTTCTTCGGTCCGCTGAATTTGATGTAAAATTAGCATTGTGTATTGAGCGAAACGAAAGTCCAAACTTCCCCCCGTGTAGAGCGTCTTGTGTATCTTTTCGAATGCTTTGGTAGAACGTATTTCTTTAGTAAGTATTCCTTTG